TCTATGATTGAATCAGATATGTAACTGTAACCTGTATTTTCAGCAGCAGAGGTGAAAGTTCATCCAATGTTTTGGCTGGGTTTTGTTCAGTGTCAAAACGTAAAATGACCTGTGCCAGCGAATTGTAAAGTCGGCTGCAGAATGATTGGAGGAATGATTGTCTATTGACAACTTTTTTGGGTTGTAGACAAAAAACAATTATCAATATTGAAAACAGATAGCCACTCAGTGAAATACTATTTTTGAGTTGAAGGTAAATAAATAAAATTAACTAAAATGGCTTGTATCATTTATAAATAAAATAAATTCAGTGCCATTGTTCATATAAGAATCTATTAGGTCTAGTATTGTAGGTAATCTTCTTGTATGTAATCCTCATTCTGTATAAACTTGGTCGTTAATGGTCCCTCAAAACCATAAGAATCATGTGACTTGATACCACTTTTTCATTGGCTTAACCATTGATAAAGATGGTGACATCGCACATACCTGTAGTAACAAGCAAATTGTTGTTTTTTCAACCATCTTGACAATGTAAAATTTACATCGATTGATACATATGTTCACATTATGAATTTGCCGATTCTAAATGCATGTAATTTTGTAACAATTTCTCAGAAAATCATTATTTTCCTCACATATTACTGGCTTACTTGATTATCAACAGTTATAGCTTTTACGGTTGCTTCTAATCTTCACCAGTGCACATTATGTTCAAATACGAGTTGTTAGTGTCAAAATAATAGCATTGTATTAAGCTTTTGCTACATGGGTCACAAATTCTATCAGGCGTTTATACAGGGTTGTTTGACAGCACTCAGCTCAGTTGATAAGCCAGTAAATTGAGAGTTAGATGTAGCCAAGAATTCCTAACTTAATTCTAGAGTCAAATCAACACTTCCCACACATTTACTGCTCGATTATCAAATTCATTCACACAGAAGTTGCTGTCAAATAGCTACCTTTGAACTAAATAATAGGCATTTTGTTAATAAAAATATGTTAACCTTTGTCATATTTACATTCCAATCCATTACCCATAATGCTCTATTCCTGCTCTTTATTGATGATAAATGTTAGTAAGATTACTGATATTTCTGAATAAATCTACAAATAAATAGTCTGAGAATAAGGAAATTAATACTGTTTCACAAAAAAACAGCAGTGGATAGTTTTGCTTTGATTAAGCCTTGTCTTGGTGAACTTAGAATGTAGTATGTTGAAAAGCAGATAACAAAAAGTCAAGAGGTGCATGTGGGTGGTGTGCAATCAAGCATCGCATTCCTAATGCTGATGGTTTTGATATAGCGTGATACAGTTGTTCATAGAGAAATTTTAGCTTAATACTGCTCATCCTATCAAGTGAATTGAACATTTTTTTCCTCTTTGCAGCTTGAAATTTGGGCTGCATATGTCAACAATTTCTCGGAAAATTTGCAGCTCCATAATAACAGTAACATGATAATATATTTAGATTGTATTTGTGGCTAATACCTAAGAAAGCATGTGGTAATGTGACAATGCAGTATTGCGATTTTTTTTTTTTTTTCGATAGTCCAAGAAAAAATATCAATACTGCTTCGAGCAATAACACTATACGGTACTATCATATGTGTAAGTGCATCAGTAAGAAAATGAACCATGAGCTAGTGGACAAGCATGAAAAGTAGGTCTTCAGAAGC